ATATTTTTTAATTATTCAAAGTAATAGTAATAAATAATATAAAAAATATTCAAAGAAAAGAATGAAATAATGTACTTTAAAATGAAATAGTATTTACAATTTTTTCATCAAATAAATTATTTTATTTGTATATCTTATAAATATAAATGCTATGAAAAGGTATATTAAGTATGGGTTATTATCATCAAGTAGTAACTTTAAGTATGTAATAGGTATAAAATTCAATACAAAAAATACTTTTAATATAATGAAATCTAATGAAACGTAATAAAAGTTATTCATGTATCATTTTCTTACAAAAATGGAATAATTATTTAATACTAAATACAAAAGGTTAACAATTGAAATTTTTAATAATATATTTTCATGAAAAGCTATTAATATTAATCGAGCACTATTATTCAGTTTCAGTATCATACATATACTCATTCTAATTTATCAGATTCTTCAATTTTTTTCATCTACAATGAAAAACTAATTTCGAGATTTTGTTATATCTATATGTATATATACAATCAGTTATATATTATACTGTGAATACTTTAATATGATACTTTGTACTCCACAATCTTATAATAGATATGTGAATTCAAATATATATTTACATAATCTATTCTCCATTTTTATTCATTACATATTTATATACTATTTGAAAATCAATGATTACTATTAAGATGAAACATATATTTTTTATAAATATACTTCAACATATTAAAATATGAACTTATGTATTATGGCAATGCGTACTGATTAAACTACTCTTCTTACTAATAATTCCATGATATTTAATAATAATTGTTGATTTCAAGAGATTTATTCTACTAAATATGTCTAGAATACTGTCATATTATAGTTTAAGCACTAATTTTTGTATAAACATTATGTGGTAATCAATATACTTTTTCAAATATTAGATATTCATATATACACATTAAAATTATATAATATTTAAAACTCTATCAATTAATAATATAAAAGTTTTAAGTTACAATTTTACAGATTTTATAAAACATATGAATACTAACAAACTGCAAATAAATATACAGAGCCAAAAGTTATATAAAAATAGAAACGATTACAAATTATTTCTTTTTACTAGTTTTTTAACATTGTTTTTAAATAAAAATTTGTGTAAGTACTTAAATACATTAATGTAAAACCATATTGTAAACTAAGTTTTAAAAAATGCTTTTTTTAATGATTGAAGTTAGAATTTTATTAATTGAAAATTTGTATAAATTTTATAAAAAGTGTTTTCGTTCAGCAAAACAACTTTTCAACAAATATACTGATAATAATTAACAAAATCATGTGTTATATTATAGGAAAGAGAAATTTTAGAATGTTTAATACTTCTAGTAAATATATATTTAACAAAATATATATAATTATAACAGTATAATATACTTTGTGTTAGAATACAGTAAAATATTAACAACGAGAAAAAAAGAAAGTTCTCATGGCATTATAATTATGTTAAAGAATTATATTTTTATTATGTTTACTTTATGTACACTAAAATATATATTTCCTATTAGTTACATAAATATTTTGGAACCAGATATTATTTAAATTATTATTTAAAATCGTGTTATGATTTATAATTTATGAGTTTGTAAATGTCTATTGCATAGAGTTGATCAAGAACATTGTAATATTAATATTAATATATAATATATTATGTTATTAATTTGACGGATAAATTATTTTATATTATTAGTAGTTACATTTTTTTAATTTATCCATATAAATAAATTAGAAACTTCTTTTTCAATAACTCTGTATATTAAATGATTGCTTTTCTTAATTCACAGATGAACTTGTCAACATTATATTCAGTAAAAATTCAAAAAAATTCTATACATACAATTATTAGATAGTCCTTAAACGAATAATATTATTATTTAGTAATATTTTTATAGAACAGACCTTAATTTTGATGCATTTAGTGATATATATGCTGATATATATGTGGTTTGTACTAAATTTCTTTAACTGCTATGTTTATTTTAAAGTATTGAGAATAGGAAAGAAAGTATCAATATCCACACGGGCATTATAAGTATGTTTGGGATCGTTATTGTACACTTAATAATTTTAATATAAAAAAAAAATTTATACAATAGTAATGAACAATCTTTGATATGGAATAAATAAAAAATCATTTCATTTTCCAAAATATATACATATAAATATTTCCATCTTTTCATTATCACTGCGTCTCCCTCTCTTTTTCCAGCGTTATTTCTGATCTATTACTTTGTTTATCATTTTTATACTTTATTTCGTTTGTTTTATTTTACCGTATAATTTGATTATTTTCAACATTCACTATGTTATTCAAAATCACTTTTAATTTAATAAATAGTCAGAATAATATCTATAATAAAGGAAATTAAATCTTTAAATATATTATCTGTTATATTATAATTATGTAAAGTAAAGTTTTATTTAATAGAAAAATTTTACATTTTCTCATAAAATTTTACTTCAATTTTTAGAATTTTTATATCATGTATTAATATTTTATTATTTTAAAAATATTCATGTTATTAATATTAGTATGAAGAACGATAAATGATTAAAATAAAATTATTTAAATTAAAAATGTTATGGAACAAACAAAATATAAACTTTATGAGTATAATATTTAATATCAATTAATTTTTAATTAAGTGACAAAATTTATTCGTAATGACTTTTCATTTGCTTATAAAAATATATTTTACGCGGTAAACAATTATAGTTAATAGTGTACAGAAAAAATTCATATGTGTATATTCGATTCTTTTCGCAAAGAATATTGTTTAAAATTCTAAAAATTGAAAGTCATACTTTTATATATATATATATATATATATTATAAATTTTGAATATTAAATAGAAAAATAATGCATTAAATACTATAACGTAAAATATTTGAATTTATTATTAGTGATTTTATTAAATAATATTTATTCTATCCTCAAATAAACCTAATTTTTTAAATAAAACTATTTAAAGAATATTATTACTAATTGACAGATGTTAATATCAGCTATTTATTTTGATAAGAATTAAATAAAAAAATGTTGAACTGATAGAGACACGGACCGTTATTTCTATTTTTAACAGTATTTATCGAAGTATCTACTTCCGCCTGCATTTTACTTTTTATCGTTCCTTCTTTACGTCTCCTTTTTATCATTGCGCATTAAGTCAAATACAAAAAATGGTTTTATGCTATACTATTACATTTGGACCTGTTCAGCTTTTATTTATACTTTTATATTGCTCCAGTCCTTTACTATTTATATTTTGTATTCTGCAACACGTCTTATTTTTATTCCTCTTTTTTACAACTTTATTTGTTATTTCAATTTGTTTTAATTTTTACTTAAATTCCATAAATTTTTAGTACGATATATCGTATAAAAAATAGATATTTAATTTTCATGTATCATAATTTCAGAATCATTTTTCGTAGCAATAGTGTTATTTATTAGTAATTATTTATTGGAATTATTGAATTCATTTATTATCTTAAAGAAATTAAGTTTTTTAACTAATTATATTTTTGAATCATTATTCATTTTATTAAAAAAATATTTTATAATGAACTAAGGATTATATTTATATATACATAAACAGGATGAATATATTTTTTATTAAAATGAAAATCTGTAAATAAAAGTAAACAAAAACATTATATTTTAATACTAAATAATTCTATTTGAATATAATAAACATTTTTCATATCTATATTTTTAATTGAATAATATCGAAATAAAAAATTTCATGAATATTTAATTAATTTTAAGGCATTTAAATAGACTAAAAGTTAATAAAAGATAAGGAATGATATTGAAAAAAGATTTGTGCATAATATGATATATGTCGAAATATATTTATTTAGTGTTTAAATAAATTACATTGATATTTAATCAATAATTAATACATATAATTGAATAATTAGATAAGACGTTACAATACATTCAAGATTGTATTTATTTTATTATTTTTAAAATAAAATAGAATAAGAATATCTTATAATTGAAGTAAAATTTTAAAAACAATAAATCAAAGGATTTTAGTAGATTAAAGCACTGTATACAAATGGAATTATAACGTAAAGTAATGAATAAGCAAAGAATGCGAGCAAGTTTTATTCTACATATGTATGAAGTATTTATGATGAGTAGTATAGAAAATAAACATTCATTTGTAAAAATAATGTTAACGAAGTATGTTAACTAGAAAGGTATATTAATATAAAAATTTCAAGAACATAAGCTTATAATGTTTATAAAACATAAAAATTCATATAGATAGATATAAATATCATTTTTATCATTTTTTATGTAGATTTTTATGTAAACAATACAAAATTTTAATTAATAAAAATCAGCTATTATTGTAATAATTTTATATTATATAAAAACTGTATCATTGATCAGTTTACTTTATATACGTACCATATTAATTAATACAAAAGTGTATCATTTAAAATAATTTTTATTATCTAATTTATTAATATCTATTTATGTATGACATATAAATGATTAAATCGTGTATAAAATAATCATAAATAGTAAAAGTTAAACATTATGTATATAATAGAAAAATAGTAATTAATAACCAACCTATACCAGTATAATCATATATAATTTTCTTAAAATTTAAATTAAATTGTAAATCACTATCCTTGAAATTTCAGTAAATGATTCTCGGCCGATCTTTCTACACACTGATATTATAATGTAACTATTTATATTTTATAATTATAAATTTGATAATTTAAAACATTAGTGTGTGATACGTAATAGAAAATAAAAAAAAATTTAAAAACGGAAACAAAATAAATATGAAAAACTCTTCTAAATCTATAATAATAATAATAAATATAGTTCCTTCTATAATTAATAAAAAGTAGATACATTTATTTTATATAAAAAATGTATTTCAACGAAGAGAAATAACATAAAATATACGAAGACAAATAAAAAATCTACATAACCAACCTGATAAAAGTAGAAAGGGTCAATCTCTTCTGTAATGTTGTAGTCTATGGCGCCAGTGATATTTATCGTAGATTTCTCGAGATTATAATAATCTTCCATGTTGCTATTGATGCTCGTATCGGTAAAGCTTCCGAGAGCCGTTTCACTAGGTCGATTTGGCGCACGACCCTTGGTTTCGTCCCTCGTCGACATGACTATAAAACTCTGGTGCATGTGCTTTTCCAAATTTTTTACTCGTCTACTTTATAGAATAATCAGTAGTCTAATTATGAACTGACTTGGTTTGCTTACAATAAAGCAGTGCCATCCATAAAAACAAATTTATCAAAAAAATCTATTTATTTTAATTTTTTCTTTATTTAGCATCAAGATTCAAAATTAGAATCATATTAATTTCAAATTTAATTTGACAATAAAATATTAATATTAACAATTTTTATAAATAATAACACATTAGGAATTTTTATAAGAGGTGATTAAAATTTTAATTATACCAGAAAATTTTTAAATATTACTTAAACATATTTGAATTCTGATGTAAATTTGTAACAAATCTTAGTAGTCCTCTTAACATAACTAAAAATTAAAATATCATTAAAATTACAAAAACAACCAATTCTAATATTATTTATTTAATTAATAATTAGTATTTTAATAAAAACTTATGGTAAATTTAATAAACCTTTAATGTTTATCAATTTTATATATGTGTATATTGGTTATTCATCATTTTCTCTTTCATTTATATAAATTATATTTTATAATAAATTTCAATATCATTAACATCGAATTCTTACTTTTAGTTGATTTTAAATCTATCTTTATTTTTCAAATAAACATTAAGCATAATTTCCTATGCATCTATAGCATTTCAATTTTTTCTAAATCACTTTCATTATTTAGAAATGAAGGTAAATTTGTTTATTTGTTCATAAAAAATCTAATGAAATATTAGATTCTAAATAGAAAAAAATTAATATATCGAATAAATATAAAATTTTTATTTTATTCAATTATCTTCTAGTTCTAACTTAATTCTAACATAATGCAGTATATTGCAAAAGTGGATGTGTTATAAATATATTAAATTATAACATTTTCTCTCATGTCTTATACCTAGATTATTGTCTAAATTTTTGAAACATTTCAAATAATTAATGAGAAATTATGGATTTATAATTAAAAAATTATTAAATGTTTAATGTAATATATATATATATATATATATATATATATATAATGATACACCCCCATATATATCATGTAATTATATATATATTTTTAAAAACTACTGAAAACTTTTTATTTACAATTAATAAAATTCAACATCTATAATTTCATAAATATACTATTTTTTTAAATATAGCAGTTACTATGCATTTTATAAAAATCACTTATTTAATTATTATTTAATTATACAATTATAAATTATAAAAATTTATATTAATATGTATTTATATTTACAAATATAATAATAGACAACTTGAGTTGCACAATTTTAGGCTGAATAGAACCATTATTTTAGTTATCTAGAAGAATTATATAAATATTTGATAATATAGCAATTTTCATGATATTTTAATTTAAAATATGTATTTATAAAATATTAATATTTAATTTTCGACTAATATAATTTACTATTTATATATAATATTGTTTAGTTAATTTGAATTAGATGGCTAATTATATTACTATACATGCAGCCCAATGAAAATAATTAGTGAAATTCATATATTTAAACTTATCAAATCTTATTTTATACTTATTAAATAACCACATACTTTGACTATTATTTTATAAGTATTTTTTTTATAGTATTACTATATTATTGTTATATTATTTTTATAAGTATTTTTTACAATGAATGTTAATAATATAATAGAAAAATTTGAAAGCGGATGCAAAAATGCATATTATTAAAAACCAGTGTTATGAATTGATGAAATGAAATCGGGAAATATATGACGGGGCATATGAAGCATATCTGAGAGTAAATATGATTTTAATATATTTAATATTCACCTTCATTAATTATTTTAATTGGTGTTAGTTATTAATATATTAATCTTTATCAAGAATATTATAAATATTGTCCAAAATACAACATCGGCGAAATATTTCATCTTTACCTCAGGTTTTTAAATCGTCCTGAGTTCGACTTTTTCTATGTGACCTCAATAATAGTGGCGGCATCGCACTCGCAGATGCAATCGTAACGTTCCAGATGATCTGCGCACAATAGTATAGTGGCATTGCCTTTGTCCTTCAGTCATTCGCAATTAATCGGTTTATCTGTTATAGTGTTTTTGAAACTATTTCAATGTAAAATTTATAGACTTTTGTACGAAATAGTTTTATGAAAGAAATATATGTAGTTAAGAAATCTACATTGAAATAACCTGAAAATAAAATATAAGAATACATTGGTCCATGATAAATATACATAATAAACCTACGATAAGTAAACACTATATCGTAATTCTTACTGCTTAGAAATGTAAGATCTTATTGATTTCAGGTTTAAATTAAATTGACTTAATTGACTCAGTTAGGAAATTATATTTTAATATTTTTATATTTGAGTTTAATTTAACGATAATTAATCAAAATTTCTAAATCGTATAAAACTGAATCCATTTTTTAATTCTTGACTTATTAATTCATGCATACATATATATAAACATATTAGATTATTTATAAAATGATTATTTATTACATATACATAAAAAAAATGTAATAATATTAAATATTTATCATTAATATAATTTAAAATTTATTATTATAAGTATTATTATAATTAAGTATTATTATAATTTATTATTATAAAATTTATATTTTAAGAAGAGTCAAAACTGACTTAAAAAGTTTTTTAATGTTATTATAAATGAAATTTTCTATAATAGATTAATTTAATTTAATATTTTTTAAATAACATAAATTATTTCAATTAAGTTTCTTTATTTAAACTCCTTACATTTTTAAACAATGTAAAATTATAAAATTATAAATGTATTCATACATTTATTCAACTAAAGCTAATCCTATATGTAAATTATATAATGTACAAAGTATGTGGATATATAAATTTTGTATTTACTTCGATAGAAATACTTGTGTAGTTTTTCAGCAAGGATACTAAATATTTAAAAAATTTGTTTTTAAACTAGTTAGTTATTCAAAAAAGTATCATAATAATAAATAATAATAATAGCCAGCCTTTTTTTTCGAATAGATGTAAAAATAAATAAATCAGTAAATAAATAAATATATAAATTAAACATTATTTTAATTTATTGCTAATTAAAAGAAATGAAATATTGTTTCTTGTTGTTGATATAGGCCCTTTTTAATTTATCAATCTAAGTTCTAACAAGATAGTCAATTTTGTTAATAATTCCAATCGAACTAACCAATAGTATTATCAACTGAAATTAATAGTTATTTTGAAATTTCCTTTACAAAATTTATTCAAAACATTTTAAAATATATAATATGAATAAATTAATAATACAACGGAAAAAAGGAGTTTGTATTCTATTAACTTTGAAAAACAGTGATAGTTTTTTTTTTAACTATTTGCCTATTTGTCAATAATATTCAATATCGATATAAAACGTTTATTATCTTTTATTTTAAAGAAATTTTCTTGTATATGATACTTTAATTTTAATGATAATTATTTATTTTATTATTTAGATACATATGATATTTAAATATATAAATGATATATAAAATACTAATTAATACAAGATTCACTATTTGACTCAAATATAGGAATACAAATAAAATGTAATATTGAATGATATTGTAAATGACATTAAATAATATTTAAATCGAAAAAAAATCTGAAATTTTAACATATTACTTAATTTCAAGAATTCATGTTATATTCTATTATATCTCACTGTAAATAGATATAAATTTTTTTTATATTTTTATTTATATTTTATACCTATGTTTGATAGAATTATTAAAATCAATGATTATCCTTATAAAATAGCTATTAAATAAAAATTGTTAGCGTACGTATCTATGCATGGATATATGTATGTATATGTTCACACGCGCGCGTGGAGTAAGTTGTATTGTTATAGATTTACAATTATTTAATCAAATTGAAAAAAATCTAAACAAATTTTTCTTCCAACTTATATTTCAAGCATAACATTTTTATATATAATGTAAAGAGTAAATTTCTTCATCATTTGAATCTATATGATATCAATTATCAATATGATATTAATACAATTATTATAAAATATTAAACATAAAAACAAGAAGTCAAATCAAATTGAGTAGAATAAATCTATAAATATTAAAAAAAAAGAAATACTATATACAGTATTGCATTAAGATTTCTATTATTTTAGCTTAAGGTTGAATCACTAATATATTCTTGTTTTTATCGGAATCAAACTATAGTATTTTTGGACATTGACACAGAACTAGAAGTACAATGAAGTTGAAGCTGATATTATTAATGTCACATATTTATCATAATTTTCCTGTTATTTTATCCTCTTTTACTTTCATCCGGCATTTACAATGCCTGTGATTATTGTATCCTGTATGAGTTTCGCTACATTTGATTTAAATTAAATATTTATATTTTTTTTTAAATTTCATTAAAAATATTTTTGATAAATTTTATGACATCTTTTAGTCGATTACGTTATTCAAATGTGAGGCAGATGGAAATCATAGCGCCGTAATGAAAAGTTAATAATGTAAAGATACGAACAGCAAAATCAGGAAAAAAGGTAAAAAAATCATAACCTATAATATGATAGGGAGCGACTGTTTTTATTTTCAATAATAAAAAGAAGCAAACATTAACAATTATGTTGATTCTGTAAAATAAAACTATCTATCGTATATTAATGTTATTTCTTAGGGTCGAAGTCAAAGAATTTAATTCTCAAATATCACAGACTACGAAAGGAGGAAAAAGTTGCTGGAGCATTGCTTGCAGGAGCGTAAAGTTAAATGTTAACACTGTTGGGTTATCCGCTGATTATCTGAATCTCGGCTTAACGCCGACGTCCGCCTCTTTCTTATTTTTTTACTTCTCATCATCTTATACGTTCGATATAACTTACTCTTTTCTTCGTTCCTTTATCCAAAGCATAAAGCGGCAAAAGCACTATATTATATTTTTCATAGTAAAATCTGAAACATCGCTCTATTATTTT